ACCTCACTTTAGGACAGTCTTTTAGTTTGATTTTTTTTTTTTTTTTGTGATGGTATTCTTAAGTTTTTGTCAGAATAAACATACAGCAACCTTGCTTTAGTTTCGTGAAATTCAAGTTTGGGAATAGCTTTAGTTTCCTCCCAGTTAGCCATTATTTGATTCTAATGAAAACTCGAGTGTTTCCCATCGTGGCAAAGACTTTAATCTTTATTAGTTGAGTGTCTAGCAGCCAGTCTTTATCTAATCTACTTGCCCTCCCCCAACTCTTCCCAGATTCACCCCTCCCCTTCCCTATGCGCCCAACTTTGTGTCCACTTAAAAAAACACAATGAGATCAATTTGTGCTGCCTAAATATTTTTGGGCCTGTGGTCTTCAACCTGAGCCTGCTCTATTTACCTGGGCTACAATCTTGGCGAAAACTCCCTTCCCAGCAGTAAACTGTTGTCAATAGCTCCGAGGCTAGGTTTTTGCCTTTTTTAAAAAGTTTATTTTCTTTTCTTCTAATGTAACCCCACCTGGCCTGTAACTCTGTGTGGACCTGAATTTACAGAGATCCATTTGCCTGAGCCTCCCTAGTGTTGGGATGAAAGGAGTGCCCCGCTCCTCGGCGTACCCTCAAATTATTAGAGGCATTCGTTTTTCATGTGCACGTAATCCCTTCTTAGAGCCTGGGTGGTTTAATTCCAGTGCCTTCAGAGTTAAGTTTCGCCCCTTGCTCTGTGATCACAGGTTTGCCTTTTGCCATTTCACGCTGCCAGTCCCCAAAAGTCAATTAAATGGTGGTAGGACACCAGCCTCCAGGGTGGGTCACCTCCTTAGAGTGCCCAGGCGCTTTGCAAGGTCAGAAGGGACTGGCTCATTGGGTAATTTGATTTAACTTTCCAATATTGCTGACCCACCATCATCCTTTATGTGTCCTTTCCCTCATTTCCTCCCCCCCCCTTTTTTTTTCTTGAAAGGTGGCAGGCACTTTCTTCTGTTGGTTTCTCTCTTGCTAACAGGAACCTAATTTGAAAGGAAAATCGTGGTTGTCTTGGGAAAGAAATGGGGTTGTGAAGTGTGGCACCTGTATGGGTGTTCCTAGAGCAGTGAGCAAATCCAGCAAGCAACAGACCTTCCGTTTAGGGGTTCACTGTAAATTAGCCTTTGCTGTGCTGCCCCTCCCCACCCCCACTAGGAGTGTCCCCTTAATTATCCGTGGGGCCAAGCATCTCCAGGCCAGACCCTGACACTCAAGGCCTCACAAAACCAGGCAGGGGTTGCACTGGGGACGCCTCCCATTCCCATTTCCGCTCCAAGGAGCGGGGAGTTGGGTCGCTCCTGCAGCAGGGCTGCAGTCATGTTTGCTGCCCTAGTTTATTACTTTATAAGCAATCAAATATTCTTTTAGTGGGTGCCCTGCAAATTAGAATGCTCCGAATACCAAGAGCCCTTTGTTGCATTTAGAGAATGCAAGTTGGCAGCCTCCTCACCCTGTCCCTGGCCCACCGTGGCTTGTGGGCACAAGCTGGGGCGGGGGTAGGGCTGTTGGAATTTGGCTGGGTTGGCAGCTTCCTTTAGGTAACCAGGCCCAGTATGCTGAAATGCAAAGGGTAGCCTAAGTTCATATTTACCCTCTGGGATTTACATTTTAACTCCATCCTCAGTCCAGGGAGGGGGGTGCTTTTCATAAAGGGGACTGAGGCAGAAGAGGGCAGGGTCTAATTAGCTCTAATTAGTATTCCTCCCCTGCTTGTTCTCCATGCTTATTTAGCTACGGAGGCAACAAAGAATTAAAGTATCTAAGTAGTTTGGCAAATCGCCCTTTGTGCCTGCCTGCCCCAGTAACAACTTTTTTTCTCCTTCAGCCTGGTCATGGAAATATTCTGGGAAGTTTTAACAAGATCATCAATGTGGGGTAATTACACACGGTCCTTAAATGATAGGGTGGCTTTTAGAGGCCCTGTGCTGCAGAGGCTGTGGGCTGTGGGGCGGCTTCTCTTGGCTGGGCTCAAGCTTTGGAAAGCCTAAGGGCGCTTGTTTTCCTTTTCTCCAGTGGGGGAAGTTGGTTGGCTTTAAAGCAGTAGCTCTCAACGTATGGGTCCAGGCCCCCACAGTCGAAGGGCCCTTTCACGGGGGGGGGGGGGGGGGTCGCCTCAGGCCATGGGAAAACACAAGATATACATTATGATCTATAGCAGTAGTTCAAATTACTGTGAGGTAAGAGTGAAAATAATTTTGTGGTTGGGGTTACCACAACATGAGGAACTGCGTTAAAGGTTCGAGGCATCAGGAAGGTTGAGGCACCCAATTGTTGGTGAGGATTCTTTTTTGCCTTGACAGGGTGCAGGTTTTGGTCGGCAGGGTAAAGAGCCTGCTGCAGGGCCTCAGATGACTGACTCACCCTAGTCAGTGCTGCAGTGTAGGCCTGCCTCGCTAGATCCCTTCCGCAGCCTTGCCAGAGTTGTTCAGATGTGATCCCTGTCTCTGGCAAAGCCAGAACCTACTTCTGTACCCAACCAACCCCTTTAGTTACTCTATCCCTCACTCAGAGTAATCTTGTTAAAACTCCTAGGTTTCTTAGAGCCTTTAAGGCTTCTGGTTCTGAGGAGAGCCTCATGGCCTCCTGCCTTCTCCTCTCTGTCCCCTCACAGACTTCACACTGGCCCTGCTGCCTCCTGCCTGGATTGTCTTCCAGGGAGCTGCTGTCTGGCTATTTCCTTCACCCCCCACAGGCTTCATCATGGAGTCTCCTGCTCAGCCCATGGTTCCCAGCCACCCATCTAAAGCTGCCACCTCAATCCCGTGTCTTCTTTCTGTCCTTGATTTCTCTCTTTGGCATTATACCCCATCCACTGTCCTGACCTGCCCCTCCCCCTCCAGGCCTCACTTTGAAGTCAGGGTCTGTATGGGCAGCTGCTGTTAACCGGAAGCATTCTGAGGAAGGGAAATCACATTGCAAGGTGTCAAGATTCATCGAGCTGGAATCCACGATGAAGGCTCGTTGCTTCAGACTCCTGAACTGTATGCTGGGGAGCTTAGGTGACTTGGTCAGAGTCATCATGACCTTCCTTTCCCATGGCTTTTTAAACCCTTAGAAAATCTAGAAGTTTTAACCCTTCTCACTCAGCTTCCCTGTTATCAGTGTCTTACATTAATTATTGTTGTGTATTTGTCACTGTGGGTGAACCATTTTGACACTCTGTTTAGCCAAGCTCCACACTGCTCAGACAGCCTGAGTTTTTACCTTGTTCTGTTCTGGGGTAACATTATTGTCATGCCGTCTTGGGCACCTCTCGGCTGTGATGGTTCAGTCTGTCCTTGGTTTTGACAGTTTAGAGTTCTGTTGAGTTATTTTTACAGACATTGCCCCTGTTTATAGAGACTGATGTTCTTTTCTTTTGATTAGGTAGAGTTTTATGTTTGGGGAGGAAGATTCTTTCTGTTTTTGAGACAAGAACTCATTCATCCCAGGCTGGCCTCAAGCTCTCAGGTCCTTGAACTCATCCTTCTGCCACCACCTCCTGGCTGCTCAGCTAAATACTCCATTTTTGCAGTTCTGGGTCGTAAATCCAGGGCTTTAACCCCACATCTGGCACTGTACCAATTAGCTACACCCCAGCATTTGATTGCCGTAGCTGAACTGGCTCTGGGGTTAGGAGCATGTGCTGCTCTTGCAGAGGACTCTAGTTTGATTCTTAACACCCACGTGAGATAGCTCACAACTTGTGTAACTCCAGCTCCAGAAGATCTGATATTTCTGGCCTTGAGGGCATCAGCTTGCATGTTCACATACCCACACACAGACCCATATACATGATTAAAAGTAATATGATTGTTAAAGTTTTATTTAAAATTTGTATATGTGTATATATGCGTGCCAGTGAGCATACACATAGAGAGGCCAGGGGCAGACACTGGGCATCTTCTTCCACGGCCTTCTGTCTAGCTTCCCTCTCAGTGAGACTGGGTCTCGCTGAACCTGAGACTCACCGTTTGACTGAGCTGGCTGGCGGTCTGTCTCTACCTCCCAGCAGTGGGGCTTCAAGCACTTGTGGCTGTGCTCAGCCTTTATGGGACTGGAGCACATGTCTCCTTGTTTGCATAGCAAATGCTTTTACCACTGAGCCACCTCTAGGGCCTCTTGTCTCCATTTATTAATGTGTGCATGTGTTCGGGTGCCATGATGTATGTGTGTATGTATGGAGATGGAAGGACAACTTTCACAAGTTCGTTCTACCTTTTTTTACAAAATTAATTTATTTAAATTCATTTTATATGCATCGGTGTGAAGGTGTCAGATCTCCCTGGAACTGGAATTACAGACAGGTGTCATCTGTCATGTGGGCACTCTGGAAGAGTGGCCACTGCTCTTTACCACTGAGTCATCTCTCCAGCCTCTTTCTTTACCTTGTTAAGGCAGCATCTCTCTGATGGGGGATGTCCTTCTGTATATATGTTACTCTTATTGGTTTGGCCAGTAGAGGCAGGAAGATAGGTGGGGCTAGGAGAAGGTAGGCAGAGAGGCACCAGGAGAGACACCATGGAGACCACAAGGCAGTAACAGGTCTGGGCATTCTCTGGGTGAGCCAAGACCATGTGGAAATACATAGATTAATAATAGAAATAGGTTAATACTTAAGATAGAGCTAGCCAATAAGAAGCCCTAGCCATCTGCCAACAGTTTATAATTAATATAGTGTCTGTGTTTATTTGGGGCTAATGTGCTAAGTGGGGCCAGACTGGAAAGAAAAACCAGCAACATCTCTCTCATTCCTGCCACAATGTGTACTTGAGGAGCTGGAGGCTAGCTGGGTCCCTTGAGCTTCTGAGCAATTCTGCCCCTGCCTCTATCTCACCCTAGGAGTGCTGGGATTGCAGATGTGTCCCACCACGCCTAGCAATTTTACTTTCATCTGGTGATTGAACTCAGGCCATTAGGTTTGTGTGGCAAAACCTTTTACCTGTTAACCAACCCCAGCTGCCTTCATTTTTGAATTTAGTATGCTCAGTATTCTGTTCTAATATGGAACTTTTCTTGGCTCCATGAGTCATCTGTGTGCAGAGGCCATGCCTGTATTCCCTGTATTGTTCCAGTTTTTGCATATGTGCTGCCAAAAGGGGCACTCACATAATCTTTCCTTCTGAGTGTAAGTAGGATATGGTGAGAAGACGCCATTAGCCCAGGATAGTCCCCTGATGGCTTCTGTCCTGCATGGACGGTCCCAGTTAGATCCTTATACATCAGTGTTTCTGTAACATGATATACTTGCCCATTCTCCATTTTTATTCAAAAGCAGCATTAAATATGCATCTGCATTTTGATTTTTATTATTTATTTACTTATTGGGACAGGATTTCTCTGTGTAGTCTTGGCTGTCTTGGAACTCACACTGTGGACCAGGCTGGCCTCAAACTCAGAGATTCACTTGCTTTGGCCTCCTGAGTGCTGAGATTAAAGGCCTGTGCCACCACTGACCAGCTGCTTTTTATTTTTAACTTAGCCATACCTTGGGGTAAACTTTCACATCAGGGTCTTCATTCTTTTTTATAGTTGCATAGTATTTCATTGTATGAATTGCTGTTTAAAAAATGGAAGGTCTACCACCTTGAGAGGTAGAGGTAATAGGGTCCAGAATTCAAGGCCAGCCTTGCTACATAGTGACTTTGAGGCTATCCAGGGCTATGAGACCCCAACAAACCAATCAATCAAAAACTGTAAAGCCGGTGTTGTGGGTCTTTGGTAGATGTCTGATGTTTAGAAAGGTGGTCTGAAGATGGGACTGACTGAGGTAACATCTTGCAAGGACATACTTGAAATTTGTGATGCCATCTTTACACATGACTGCTTAGTTGCTGGGTCCCGTTAGAAACCCTGTGTCTTGTATGACAGATGTGTGGGGCACAGTTCAGGTGTGGGGAGAAGCACCCCAGTACCTTGCCACCTGCTTTACTCACTTCCGTTATCCCTTGGAATGTTTATATCTGCTGGTTGTCTGCTTCAGTAGTAGTTGCTCAACTTGGATGTGCTGGGTCGGCAGAGATGAGAGGGGCTGGCTAGAGCAACGGTGGTCAGGAGGGTCCTGCCGAAAGTGAGCATTTGGCTCTGGAGGGGCCAGGCGGGAAGGGTTGGGTTAGGGAAAACCCTTCACACATCTTGGAGGGACAATAGACCGGACCGACATGGACTGCCCAGGTATGATTGATGAGATAGGGGGCTGAGTCAGTGAGTTTTGGAAGTAGAGCATATTTGTAGATCCTGTTTTGTAATAAACCCTGAATGAGACTTGTAGTGATGGCGCCTCGGAGAGTTGAAGCTGAGCTGGGAATGGTGACTGCAAACCACCCAGAAAAGATGTGGCTGCCGGCTGGGCCAACAGCGCCTGTCTGTGACCTAGACACAACATTGTGACATTGGTGAACTCTGGCTGCTTGGCCTTGCATTCATTGCTTCCTTCCTTTTCAAAATGAGTGCTGGTGCCGGTGACTCATGCTGCCAAACCCAGACTCTGAAATATTAATAGGTGGAGAGCAGAGATGCCAAGGGAAGTGACCGTCACTGATGTGCCTGGCACCCAGCCTGTGGTTTGGGGTTGTGGAGCTTCTCCATGTCTGACGCAGGACACCCCTCAAGTTCCCAGGCACAGCACCTGTGACTAGGGCTGTAGCTCCAACCTCCCCAGTCCAGAGCTCAGAGATTAGGACCAACTTAATGCAGAAGTGTCTGGAGTCTGGATTTGTCCCAAGGGCAACCTAATTTTAGGGCAGTTGAATGTCATAAAACCACTTCATTATCGAGTGTGAATATGGAGTATTAATAGAAATAACTACGAAAGCAGAGTCTCTTGCTGTTTTTTCTGGCTTTTCAATAGGGGTTTTGTTTGTTCTTGTTTTTCTGAGACACTCTAGCCCAGGCTGGCCTGGAACTCATTATGTAGCACTTGTGACAGTCCTGGCTCCACTTCGAGAGTGCTGCTATTGCAGGCACAAGCCACCACGGCCAGCTGGCTGTTTAATTATTGTCATATTAGGTGTTCATTGTGTCATCAAACTCTTATGAATAGTCCAGGTCTTTGGAGGTGGTAGACCGGAAGACTAAGGACTGTCTGGCCTAGGTCAGGAAAAAGAATTTGCCTTGCTGGGCCCTGGGCCCTCAGCCTGGACTCCTGGGGCTCAGGTTATCAGGAAGTGCTAGCTGTGAATTCGTGTGGTTCTGAACTGAACCCTAAGTGAGAGCTCTGACCAAAGGCTCCTTTCAGACCCTGGTATGGTTAGCAGTCTCCTCCAGGAGCTGTGGAACTCAGCATGCCACAGCCTCCCTGTGTCTCAGAGAGCACAGGGACCACCAGCCGGGCTCCCTGACTTAGCACTTGACAACTGAGACTTGCTTAGGGTCAACAAGACTTAGTCACTTTAGCTTTTCTTATGTTTATATGTAAAATGTGGCAGCTTAATTAGCTTGCCTGAAAACACTTCCAGCTCCTAGGCTCTGAAGTTCCATTATATTACTTGTGTCTGTATATTTTTTTTCCAGATGTTTTCTCTGTGCAGCCCAGATTGCACTGGAACTCACTCTGTAGACCAGACGGGCCTCAAGAGATCCGCCTGCCTCTGACTCCCGAGTGCTGGGATTAAAGGTGTGCCACCACTGCCTAGCCTCTTATTTTCTTAAAAAAATAAATAAATAAATAAATAAATAAACAAACAAAAATCCAAAAGACAAAAACAAAAGCCAGGAGGGCTTGAGTTTGTGTGTGATGAGGTTGAGGAGGGGCAAAGAAAAGCAGCTTTTGTTTTAGATTTGTTTCTTCCCTCAGATCTGTACTGACAGGTAAGGGGATTTGGCCAAAGACAGAACTTTTTGAAGCACACACCTGTTCTCAAGGCTTAGGTATCCATTTGGAAATTACTGCTTTAAAACTGGAAAGGAGCCAGGTGGTGGCACACACCTTTCATCCCAGCACTCGGGAGGCAGAGACAGGCAGATCTCAGAGTTCCAGGTCAGTCTGGTCTACAAAGAGAGTTCCGGGACAGCCAGGGCTACACAGAGAAGCCCGTCTCAAAAAACCCAAACAAACAAACCAAAACTGGAAAGGAAGCTGAGCATACCCACCCAGGCCTAGACTCCCAACAACACACGGGGGGGGGGGGGGGGGGGGGGCTGAGACAAGAGGATCAGGGATTCAAGGTCAGCTTCAGCTGGGTAAGATTTTTGTCTCAAAAAACCTAGACAAAAGTAGAAAGGACACTTGTCAGTGAGATCAGGTGGCACCTGGGCCCTGCTTTCCCGTTGCTTAAGATCTAGGACCTTGGTCTGTCTGATGTGACCCCCACCCCACCCCAGCCATGGCTCCTCCTCATGCCAACGAAGGCCCTATGATCAGGGTTGCAGCCTGGTAGTGAGAGGGTGCCAATTCCTGGCTGACACCCAGTAGGACAGCTGCTGTGGGTTAGGACCCTGCCTGGCAGAAGCCAGTTTTCCAGGTCTAGGTTCCCCTTAGGCTCCCAAAGTCTCCTTCCCTCCCTTGATTTCCTGGTCTCTGGGCCCGCCCTCTCTGCCTTTTCCTGCCACTGGCTACTCCAGTTGGTGTTTCCCCTTCTAATGTCCCTCAGGGTGGCAGTGCCGCCCTTGCCCACCCCACCCGCACCCCGTTCCCTGCTCCTTTGCCGCTTATGATGTCTGTGGGTTTTTAGAGCAAGTGGCAGAGGAGAAAGCAGAAGTCTAAATTAGGGAACTACTGGGATTCCTCTCCCCAGACTTTGCCCTGCTATTTTGATCCTTACTTCTCTTCTACTCTTTTGCAGCTTTACTCATTTTTACAGTTCAGTGGACAAGAGTAGGAAAGAAAAAGCACAGAGTTACATTACACAGTCATGTTTTAATATGTATGTACAGTACGAAATTACACCACAAGCTACAGAGCTGCTTATTACTTCACCAGTGTGTGTGTGTGTTGGTGTGCTGCACACATGTGGTGCATATACAGACACAGAAGCAAATACTCATACACATTAAAAAATAAACAGACTGCGAGGTGGTAGTGCACATCTTCAGTCCCAGCTCTTGGAAGGCAGAGGCGACGGATCTCTGTATGTTTGAGGCCAGCCTGGCCCATAGAGTGAGTGCCAGGACAGACAGCTAGAGCTGCTACACAGAGAAACCCTGACTCAAAAGCAAACAAACTTTGTCATTTTATAAGCACAGTGAATTATTTTGCCTGTAGTCACTATGCTGATGTGTTCATCCCATCTACAAGTTGGTACTTTTGATTTACAATCTCATTCCCCAGCCTGTGTGCCCCTGGCAACCACCATCCTGTTCTCTGATTCTGTAAGCTTGACCTTCAAATTCCATGAGCTTGCTTCATGCAGCTAAGATAGCATGGCTAGTCCTTCTGTGCCTGGCTTGTTTCTTTTATCATACTAGCCTTCAATGACTGGATTTCATTTTTAAAAAGTTAACATTATATATATATATATATATATATATATATGTATATATATACATATGTATATGTTCATATACATATGTGTATATTTTTCTTTGTCATTGATTGTATATATCTGTCATTGTATAGATTTGTCATTGATTGTATATATTTTAAAATTTAAACATTTTTTGAGGCAGGGTCTTATTATTTATCCTGCCTCTACCTCCCAAATGTTGGGATTAAAGGCACGTGTCTCCCTGCCTAGCAAAAATAAAAGTTAAAAAAAAAAAGAAAAAGAAAACAGTGCATATGCCTTCAGAGGCCAGAGACATCAGACCCCTTTATAGGTGCTTGTGAGCTGCCCAGCCTGGGTTCTGGGAACCAAAGAGGGTTTTTAGCAGGATCAGTATGTACTTTTAACTGCTGAGTCATCTCTCCATCCCCTTGAGATGGGGTCTTGCCTAGTTCAGGCCAGTCTTGGACTTGCTGTGTCAATGGGGATAACCTTGACCCTTGGACCCTCCTGCTCCCTCCCCGCCTCCATACTGGGTGCATAGGTGTGTACCACCTCACCTGGTGTCTGAGGTGTTGATGGAACCCAGAACTTGCTGGACGCCAGGCCAGCAATGAACTGAGCACATCCTAGCACTAAGTCTATAATCCATTTTGAGTTGCTTTTTGCATGTGGGGTGAGTT